TGCTCTTTAGCATCGTGATTCTATGCGAAACATAGACAATATAACTTACAGCAATAAAAACATGGGGAGACAATAAAGCTTACTTCAGCACAATAAGGACAAGGCAATACAATTTACTGCAGAACAATAACGACAAGGCAATACAACTTACTGCAGAACAATATGGACAAGGCAATACAACATACTGCAGAACAATAAGGACAAGGCAATGCAACTTACTGCAGAACAATAGGGACAAGGCAATACAACTTACTGCAGAACGATAAGGACAGGGCAATACAACTTACTGCAGAATAATAAGGATAAGGCAATACAACTTACTGCAGAACAAGAAGGACAAGGACATGCAACTTACTGCAGAACAATAAGGACAAGGCAATACAACTTACTGCAGAACGATAAGGACAGGGCAATACAACTTACTTCAGAATAATAAGGGCAAGACAATACAACTTACTTCAGCACAATAAGGACAAGGCAATACAACTTACTTCAGCACAATAAGGACAAGGCAATACAACTTACTTCAGAATAATAAGGACAAGGCAATACAACTTACTGCAGAACAAGAAGGACAAGGAATTACAACTTACTGCAGAACAATAAGGACAAGGCAATACAACTTACTTCAGAACAATAAGGACAAGGCAATACAACTTACTTCAGAACAATAAGGACAAGGCAATACAACTTACTTCAGAACAATTAAGATAAGGCAATACAACTTACTTCAGAACAATAAGGACAAGGCAATACAACTTACTTCAGAACAATAAGGACAAGGCAATACAACTTACTTCAGAACAATAAGGACAAGGCAATACAACTTACTTTAGAAAGAGCAGTGCATATTTGTTGTCTGGCTCTCCTTCTAAATTCAGGAACTTGATCTTCTGTTTTCATTGTAGCTTCCAATTTTTGTTTAGCATCTTCATACCTGCAAAACACCCCAGGAAAATAGTGTAATTACATATTACAAATAGTGGAAGTAACACTAGATTCAATCTGACCCAAATGTTAACATCATTGTCTCAATGCGACACACCTTCAATATATGGACTGAGCTTAACATCATTATCTCAATGTGACATACCCTATATATGGACTGAGCTTAACATCATTATCTCAATGTGACATACCTTATATATGGACTGAGCTTAACATCATTATCTCAATGTGACATACCTTGTATATGGACTGAGCTCAACATCATTGTCTCAATGTGACATACCTTATATATAGACTGAGCTTAACATCATTGTCTCAATGTGACATACCTTATATATGGACTGAGCTTAACATCATTGTCTCAATGTGACATACCTTATATATGGACTGAGCTCAACATCATTATCTCAATGAGACATACCTTATAAATGGACTGAGCTCAACATCATTATCTCAATATGACATACCTTATACATGGACTGAGCTCAACATCATTGTCTCAATGTGACATACCCTATATATGGACTGAGCTCAACATCATTATCTCAATGTGACATACCTTATATATGGACTGAGCTCAACATCATTATCTCAATATGACATACCTTATACATGGACTGAGCTCAACATCATTGTCTCAATGTGACATACCCTATATATGGACTGAGCTTAACATCATTGTCTCAATGTGACATGCCTTATATATGGACTGAGCTCAACATCATTGTCTCAATGTGACATACCCTATATATGGACTGAGCTTAACATCATTGTCTCAATGTGACATACCTTGTATATGGACTGAGCTCAACATCATTGTCTCAATGTGACATACCCTATATATGGACTGAGCTTAACATCATTGTCTCAATGTGACATGCCTTATATATGGACTGAGCTCAACATCATTGTCTCAATGTGACATACCCTATATATGGACTGAGCTTAACATCATTGTCTCAATGTGACATACCTTGTATATGGACTGAGCTCAACATCATTGTCTCAATGTGACATACCTTATATATGGACTGAGCTCAACATCATTGTCTCAATGTGACATAACTTATATATGGACTGAGCTCAACATCATTGTCTCAATGTGACATACCTTATAAATGGACTGAGCTCAACATCATTATCTCAATGTGACATACCTTATATATATGAACTGAGCTCAACATCATTGTCTCAATGTGACATACCTTATAAATGGACTGAGCTTAACATCATTGTCTCAATGGGACATACCTTATATATGGACTGAGCTCAACATCATTGTCTCAATGTGACATACCATATATATGGACTGAGCTCAACATCATTATTTCAATGTGACATACCTTATATATGGACTGAGCTCAACATCATTGTCTCAATGTGACATACCTTATATATGGACTGAGCTCAACATCATTGTCTCAATGTGACCTACCTTATATATGGACTGAGCTCAACATCATTGTCTCAATGTGACATACCTTATATATGGACTGAGCTCAACATCATTGTCTCAATGTGACATACCTTATATATGGACTGAGCTCAACATCATTATCTCAATGTGACATACCTTATATATGGACTGAGCTCAACATCATTGTCTCAATGTGACATACCTTATATATGGACTGAGCTCAACATCATTATCTCAATGTGACATACCTTGTATATGGACTGAGCTCAACATCATTGTCTCAATGTGACATACCTTGTATATGGACAGAGCTCAACATCATTGTCTCAATGTGACATACCTTATATATGCTCTGAGCTCAACATCATCGTCTCAATGTGACATACTTATATATGGACTGAGCTGAACATATACTTTTATATGGATTGAGCATCAGAATAACACACATATCAACTAACCTGCCTTCATCCATTAATTGTTGAGCGGATTCAAATTGTTTATTAAGTTTTTTAGCTTTCTTGTAATGTGGAAAACACTGTTTATGATCAGGATCCAGTTTTAAACATTCTCTGATATTTCTGTGAAAAAAAAATATTAAATTAATTTGTAGATGAGATTGCACTCAACCACCTATGGCTTGGACTGCATACATTATATTCCAAAACAAGATGGTAACAAATACTGCAACATTTTAATTCTTTAAATTATTTACAAGCATATGAAGAAATTTATCTGCCATGGGTGCAATAGGTGCAATATTGTGTAATGGGTGCAATATTGCGTAATGGGTGCAATACTGCATAATGGGTGCAATACTGCGTAATGGGTGCAATACTGCATAATGGGTGCAATATTGTGAAATGGGTGCAATACTGTGTAATGGGTGCAATACTGTGTAATGGGTGCAATATTGTGTAATGGGTGCAATACTGTGTAATGGGTGCAATATTATGTAGTGGGTGCAATACTGTGTAATGGGTGCAATTCTGCGTAATGGGTGCTATATTGCATAATGGGTGCAATACTGTGTAATGGGTGCAATACTGCGTAATGGGTAAAATATTGCATAATGGGTGCAATATTGTGTAATGGGTGCAAAACTGTATAATGGGTGCAATATTATGTAGTGGGTGCAATACTGTGTAGTGGGTGCAATACTGTGTAATGGGTGCAATATTGTGTAATGGGTGCAATATTGCGTAATGGGTGCAATACTGCGTAATGGGTACAATATTACATAATCAGTGCAATATTGCGTGATGAGTGCAATACTGCGTAATGGGTGCAATACTGTGTAATGCGTGCAATACTGTGTAGTGGGTGCAATACTGTGTAATGGGTGCAATACTGTGTAATGGGTGCAATACTGTGTAATGGGTGCAATACTGCGTAATGGGTGCAATACTGCGTAATGGGTGCAATATTGTGTAATGGGTGCAATATTGTGTAATGGGTACAATATTGTGTAGTGGGTGCAATACTGTGTAATGGGTGCAATATTGCGTAATGGGTGCAATAATGCGTAATGGGTGCAATATTACGTAACAAGTGCAATATTGGGTAATGGGTGCAATACTGTGTAATGGGTGCAATACTGTGTAATGGGTGCAATATTGTGTAATGGGTGCAATATTGTGTAATGGGTGCAATACTGTGTAGTGGGTGCAATATTGTGTAGTGGGTGCAATACTGTGTAATGGGTGCAATATTGCGTAATGGGTGCAATACTGTGTAATGGGTGCAATATTTTGTAATGGGTGCAATACTGTGTAGTGGGTGCAATATTGTGTAGTGGGTGCAATACTGTGTAATGTGTGCAATATTGCGTAATGGGTGCAATACTGCGTAATGGGTGCAATACTGCGTAATGGGTGCAATATTATGTAATGGGTGCAATACTGCGTAATGGGTGCAATATTGTGTAATGGGTGCAATACTGCGTAACGGATGCAATATTGTGTAATGGGTGCAATACTGTGTAATGGGTGCAATACTGTTTAATGGGTGCAATATTATGTAATGTGTGCAATATTGTGTAATGGGTGCAATATTGTGAAATGGGTGCAATAATGTGTAATGGGTGCAATACTGTATAATGGGTGCAATACTGTGTAGTGGGTGCAATACTGTGTAATGGGTGCAATATTACGTAATGGGTGCAATATTGCGTAATGGGTGCAATGTTGTGTAATGGGTACAGTGTTGTGTAATGGGTGCAATGTTGTGTAATGGGTGCAATACTGTGTAATGAGTGCAATATTATGTAGTGGGTGCAATACTGTGTAATGGGTGCAATATTGTGTAATGGGTGCAATATTACGTAATGAGTGCAATATTACGTAGTGAGTGCAATATTACGTAGTGAGTGCAATATTGCAATATTGTGTAATGGGTGCAATATTGTGTAATGGGTGCAATACTGTGTAATGGGTGCAGTACTGTGTAATGGGTGCAATACTGTGTAATGGGTGCAATACTGTGTAATGGGTGCAATACTGTGTAATGGGTGCAATACTGTGTAATGGGTGTAATGGGTGCAATACTGTGCAATGGGTGCAATACTGTGTAATGGATGCAATACTGTGTGATGGGTGCAATATTATGTAATGGGTGCAATACTGTGTCATGGGTACAATACTGTGTAATGGGCGCAATATTGTGTAATGGGCGCAATATTGTGTAATGGGTGCAATACTGTGTAATGGTGCAATACTGTGTCATGGGTACAATACTGTGTAATGGGCGCAATATTGTGTAATGGGTGCAATATTGTGTAGTGGGTACAATACTGTGTAGTGGGTGCAATATTGTGTAGTGGGTACAATACTGTGTAATGGGTGCAATACTGCGTAATGGGAGCAATACTGCGTAATGGGTGCAATATTACGTAACAAGTGCAATATTGGGTAATGGGTGCAATACTGCGTAATGGGTGCAATACTGTGTAATGGGTGCAATGCTGTGTAATGGGTGCAATACTGTGTAGTGGGTACAATATTGTGTAGTGGGTGCAATACTGGGTAATGGGTGCAATACTGCGTAATGGGTGCAATACTGTGTAATGGGTGCAATGCTGTGTAATGGGTGCAATACTGTGTAGTGGGTACAATATTGTGTAGTGGGTGCAATACTGTGTAATGGGTGCAATACTGCGTAATGGGTGCAATAATGCGTAATGGGTGCAATATTACGTAACAAGTGCAATATTGGGTAATGGGTGCAATACTGCGTAATGGGTGCAATACTGTGTAATGGGTGCAATATTATGTAATGGGTGCAATACTGCGTAATGGGTGCAATATTGTGTAATGGGTGCAATACTGTGTAATGGATGCAATACTGTGTGATGGGTGCAATATTATGTGATGGATGCAATACTGTGTAATGGGTGCAATATTATGTGATGGATGCAATACTGTGTAATGGGTGCAATACTGTGTCATAGGTACAATACTGTGTAATGGGCGCAATATTGTGTAATGGGTGCAATACTGTGTAATGGGTGCAATACTGTGTAATGGGTGCAATATTATGTAGTTTGTGCAATACTGTGTAATGGGTGCAATATTGTGTAATGGGTGCAATATTGTCTAATGGGTGCAATATTGTGTAATGATGCAATATTATGTAATGGGTTCAATATTATGTAATACTGTGCAATACTTACATTAGTGATTCTTCCAAGTCTCCTAATGAATAATGTAATGTACTTAATTTGTAATAAGCATCAGTATTGTCAGGTATCATTTTGGCTGCTGGTCTAATATCATCTATAGCTTTCCTTGTTTGACCAGTTTTTAAATAACAATCAGCTCTTTTGTTTCTGAGATCAATATACCATGGACAATGCTGTAAATCATGAAATGAGAAGATTGAAAGAGAAACTGGGATGAATGCTGGGATTAAGAATGACATATAGTCAGGAAAACTAACAGAACTGAATGCAGATGGTAAGAATTACATACAGTCAGAAAAACAGAACTGAATGCAGAGACTGAAAATGACTTACAGTCAGAAAAACTAACAGAACTGAATGCAGAGATTGAAAATGTCATATACAGTCAGGAAAATTAAAATAACTGAATGCAGAGAGTGAATAGAGAGGTTTGGCTACACGTTTTTTATCTTTATGTGCAGAATTGGTGATCACACTGACATAGACAAATCGCTTGGCTATGTGTTAACATCGTTGTGAAGTGAAGGTCACACAGTTTATTGTACATCATGGCTACCATTGGTGATTTAGCATTTCAATATAATGATTTTGAACTGTTTTTATTCGCATTATTATGCATATTAATGAGTTCACATGACCATATATGGTCATCTGTTATTTTAGTCAAATCTTTTGTTTAACTTCATTATAATAACACATCTTCCTAACTGCATCTGTGCTTGCGATACATGTATAATAATTATGCATATTGATGAAGCTGGAAGCCCCCACCCCTTGGGCGCTCAACCACATGACCTAGCCATGTGCCATTGGGGTGGAAGAATGCATCTCAAAAGTAGAATGCACATACAAACACATGTAATTGCACAATTTTCGTTTTCACAAAATTCAAGATAGCGGCCTAAATCAAGAGACAAAGTGATTGACCAATCAGATTACTTGAAGCAGATTGTTGTAGTTTAGACAAGTGCATACATACACTGTTCACTGTATCAGCAATTCTTGAAACAAATTACCCACAATGCAAAATAATTTGTTTTTTTAATCAACTTTTTCTCGAGAAAGTTTTGACGAAGTGAACCACAACTCACTGAGTCAGAGGCAATACAAAATTTTAAAACAAGATGGCTGCCAGGACATTTGACTGATTGTTATTTTAAAAGTTATTTGCACTAGTTGCACCAGCCATTTTCTCAAACAACTTTAAGAAAAACATTGCAAAAGAGAGAAAT